CGTTCGGAAAGCAACTCTGTTCTCCCGGCGTCGGCGGTTTCGAATGCAGCCAGTACAACTTCACCTAAAAAAACGCGAAGAAATATTTAAAAAAAAACACAAGGACAAGGAAGTGGACAGACAAGAGCGCTAATGCAAAACACACAATGACTTCCTCGTCCCTGTATTTTTTGTGCGCTTTTTTAGGTGATCATGAATCAACTCGCCCAAATCGCTGGCTTCAAAAGGGCCCTGCAACCAGATTTAAGCGTCCATCGTTTTTACAGTTTCCCTATCTCTTGGGGTTCGGACAAGCCAGCGGGCACGGAGAGAGTAAATAAATATTGCCGGCGAGCTCAGCTGACCAAGAACGCAGCGCGCTCGTGGTCTAACGGTTATCGCGCGTGCTTTCCACGCTGAAAGCCAGGGTTCGATTCCTGGCCGCGGAGGCGCATTTTGTTGACTCTGTAAAGTAATGTTCTGGTAAATTCGAGAACTATGTTGCTTGTTCGAGGTCAGAATGTTCTAGGCGCCGAACCTTCTACGCCGAACGATCCAGAAACCCACACGTGTACATAAGGGGCTCCGCGTGGTGATCTGCAGTCAGGACTCGGGCTTGGTTCACACTTGCGAATCGGCGGGCGAATCTGCCAGAATACGGCCGCCCGGCGTAGCTAGCGTCCACTGTGCATTGCCGCGGCCGATTCCGCTTCGGCGGCAGAGGATTAGCTGTAATGGCGCGTTCACACTGGAAGCGGATCCGCGTTCGCGAAGCGGATCCGCGCGTTCTCAACCGCAAAGCGGCTAGGATCGAGCGGTTGGAGCGCGTTTTTGCCAACCGCTTCGGGACCGATTTCTCCCAACCGCGTTCACGAACCGCAAAGCGGCAACCAATCACAACGCGACGCTGACGTGACGTCAGTGAGTTTCAAAACAAGATGGCACCTGTCGCTGGTGAGGCATCCAAGGCGCTGTAGTCCTACCCTTAGCGAAAACCAGTATCCTTCGAGTATACTTTTTGCACTTTTAAGATACTAATTTGAGACGAGGTTAATAAAAGCATCCTACAAGGATGCTGTTTTGAAGTACCCGCTTACTACAAGTATCCTTTCAGAGTATGCTTGAAGTAGGTGCCATAGTAGAATACTTTTAGCCTACTAACCAAGTATAAAGTAGATTTAAGTACACCTGAAGCGTCCTATTAGAAGTCTTTCCTAGATCCCTTTTAGTACACGAAAAGTGGTTTAGAAAAGTACGCTAGAAGGACGTTCCAAGTGTTCGCCGATCGTCTTCGAATGCACTCGACCAGCGCTCGCTCGACATGAAAGGAAAACAACATTGGGCGCGAGTTTTCACGAAATGGCGGTCTAGGCGGTGCTTGATCTGGGAGCTCTGTTGTCTTGTGCCCCATTCGCCAGCTTTTCATCGAGTTCTCGGCATTTGTATCAGTGGCTAGCACGACTGACTACGTCCGTGATTCCATCGTGTAATCATCCGTGCTAGATATGTTATTGGCCCCACAAACATCGACGAGCCGTGTGTCCTGCCCATGGATCTTCAGTTCATTGACGGATTACGCAGTGCGGTTTGTGTATTGATGCACCGGGTCGCGAAATTGGTGCTCCTGAGCTTCGTCGTCGCAGGAAAAAGAAGCTTTATCGTGCCTGCGTCTGAGTGTGGTCTCCCTGTACCAGTGCACACGTGATGTGTGAGCGAGCTCCGAGCGGATTCGTTGCAGTGTTAAAATTTGAATGATTTGGAGGCTGTGCTTTCGTGAAGTTTTTCATGGAGTTCTTGCCATTTCTATCAGTTGTGAGCGTGACCGACCACCTTTGCGATTACGTCGCGTGATTCTAAATGCCAAATATGGTGCCAGCCATGCAACATATGCATCGACGAGCAATGTACGGTGGAGAGTAAACCTCCTCATGTCTATGTGTATATGACGCTATGCAGTTTGTTTATTGGTGTACGGGATCCCTATTAAACTTTAGCGCAGAAAAAGAAAAAAAGCACATCGCTGCGATTTGAGTCCGCGCTTGACTTGTGTACGGTGCAGGCAGTGATGTGTCTCTTGGCGTCAAGATTAAATTGAGACTTGCCTGCTTGGATCGAGCAGACTCCTGTTTATTTTCGTTGGCCCGGTGCGCAAATGGAGCACAAGGCACATATTCGCAGCAACTAACTCTTGTGATTTCTGGGAGCCGGAATTTCGGTCTCTTGATGGGCAAACATACTCACAGACTCCTGAATGCACTTTTTTTGTTGTTGCTTTGTTGTGCACCTGTAATCCTATCTCAGTTCTGCAACCTGCTACTGTTGTCACCGGTCAGTTTACAGATCTTGTCTTTATTGGCATCCATGTCCATCCTATGCCTACCCTTATTCCCCAGTCACGCCTAGGTGATACAAGCAGCGAACTATGATTGGGGAATGAGGGGTATGCCAGACATAGGAACACCATTGGTTGATATAATGTGTGAGGCAATGAAGGCTGGCACCAAAGCAGTCGCAGTTGCCACTTCATTTCCAGAAATTTGTGTCGAAGACTAAGAGAAAATGGCACACTCGACTCTTTCCCTTCACTGCCCTCCTCTACAACTGTTATTGCAGCCGAAAGTGATTAATTGTCAGTACTCTAGAAGGTATTGTAGCTGTGTCGACTCTCTGTTGCCTGCCCTGAATGTAAATCCAAGTTGTCCCGTGTCGGCCGGGGAAAATGCAGTTAACTCGCTGAAAATCATTTCATCACTTACTTACGTAGGAAAAAAATTAATACGTACATGTCGGCTCCCCTAGACGGATCGGCTTCCCTTGTCTGCATGTAAATTTGTCAAAACAGGTTCCTAACGGGCAAATTTTTGTTTTAACAATACTTCTGGTTAATCGGAACAGGACAAGGTGCTAAAACGCTTGATCGAACAGTAGAACATTTTTTTGCCATTGCACTCAAAATTTGTTTTAAATGCAGCCATGCCTGGTATAAATCAAAGCTTGGAATAACAAAATAATTTGTAATAATCTGTGTGGTGCTGTTCCCTGGAAAATTTATTTTAAAAAGTCGGAGGTTGCGACGGTGTGATGTTTTAATAGTAATAAGAACAGCCAAGAATATACAAATCAAGACTTGTTTATATCGATGCTCAGAAACAACAGCAGGGTCTCGATTCTGGTACACTGACATTCATAATATTTACAATGTGCTCTTCCAAAACAAAGTAGGATAAGAGAAAAACATGTTACTTCATGCATTGGACAGCAACTATATCATCTGTATACAGATGCTCAGTTAAATATAAACAGAAAAAAAGAAAATACAGAATACAAAGCGCGACTTCTTTTTTTTCTTCAATTAGACAAAAACTACAAAATACCTAAATACAATATACCAATTCACCACTAAAAGTTAACAAAAAATAGCTTCAAGTATTCAATGCTATTGGGTCTCTTACGGACACTGAGATGCTCAAAACTTAGAACTCTTTTGCCCATAAAAATGCACATATTCTAGAAGTATGCCACCGATGCCGATGCATTCAGCAGTTTAGAACAGGGGAAGATCGCCCCATGAAGTCAAGCTTCATTGCAGAATGGCAGAGTTTTTGGGAACAGTTCTCTGGTGCAATGCACGATGACAAGACTGCCCCCTTTATGAAGCCCTTGGTGTCAAGATATAAGCTGTTTTTCAAGCTATTCCTTTATGGTGTTGCTAGTGCCCAGCTCATCAATGAGGTATGGATATACGATTCTTTGGCTCCAAAGTGGTTTTTTGGGCCAGTTGGTTCATAGTTTAAAAATATAAAAGCGCCGATAAGAGATAAGGACCAAGATGAAGAGAGACAAATCAAGACGCACTCGCAACTGTTGTTTATTGGAAAGTACATGCATCATATAGGCCCCAACAACCTGTCGGTCACCAACGTGTCGGTGCAACACTCTTATATATCGAAACTTTTTCTTTGATAGGGTGATTGACGCTTCACTTATGCTCGATTTTGGCGCGTAGGATAAAACTAAGAGAGAGGTGCATGGGGCATATGAAATTCAGTATAACGGTGCAGATTGCATAAGTGAAGCATCAGTCGCTCTATCAAAGAAAGAGTTAGAATATATTAGACCAAGCATTGCACCAACACATTAAAGTCTGACGGGCTGTTGGGGCCTCTATTTGCATGTACTTTCCGATAGACAACAGTTGCGAGTGCGTCTTGTGTTCTCTCACTTCATGTTAGTCCTTGTGTCTAAGCGCTTTTATATTTTTATTCTTTGGCACCACAACCCAAATAAAAGGATGCTGGTGGTCATCCACAAATCAGGACTCGGCAGGAGGTTGACAAAAACTGGTAAAACGGGCACGAGCAACACACAAGTGGGCCACCGGGGAGAGAGCATCACTTCCGCTAGAACGAGCCAGGCAGACAGATTTGAGGTTGAAGGGATTGCCGCACACGGGACACAAACGGATCTTTCGCCTGTACTAAGCGCCGAAGCCAACAGAATCATAAATGGCAGAGTACGATGTTGGAGCACTGCCACAGCCCGTGATCACATACAAAAGTGGTGGTGGGAGAAGTGTTCGCATTAACAGGCATTTATGCACTAGACATCCGAATATCAGATCCACATACACTCGGCGATGGCGACTTGTTCTCATTGAACAAGAGGATGCAAAACAACATATGACAGAATCATAAATGGCAGAGTACCAACAGAATCAAGCCAACAGAATCATAAATGGCAGAGTACGATGTTGGAGCACTGCCACAGCCCGTGATCACATACAAAAGTGGTGGTGGGAGAAGTGTTCGCATTAACAGGCATTTATGCACTAGACATCCGAATATCAGATCCACATACACTCGGCGATGGCGACTTGTTCTCATTGAACAAGAGGATGCAAAACAACATATGACAGCCAAGGCAGGTTCGATAGGCCATCCAAATCCATGCCATGGCAACAAGCCAAGAGAAAAAGAACTAAAAATGGAGCAAATAAGGACTGAGTATGATTGAGCCTGAGCTTAATCGCGCTCTACCTTGTTCGGTAGGGGCACAAGAAGGAAAGTGTCTTCGGTGCGGTCCATAATGACACATTTGGTCATTAGCTGCTTGGAACTGCAAGCTGTGACAACACCCGATCTTGCACCTTCACGCACGGACAAAAATGGCAGTCCTAGCTGTACGTCCTTAAAAACTACCGTAGGAGTCAGCTGCAGTTTCTCCATAAGCACAATGTGTTGGATGTCAGACGTAGTACATGCAAGCTTAAACACTGCGAGTGCCTGCACAATGCCAAAAGATCCATCACTGAGTTGAGCAACACAGTTGGCTCTTTTTGGCATTGGGTAGGACTCAGAGTTCCAGACAATGCCATTGCACTGAAAGCGGTGGTAATAAGTCAGGCTTGATGGCGGTGCATCTAAAGCCCTCTCTACTGCCACCTCAAATCTTACATTCTGGGCACTTGTGTTGTGGCGTGTGTACACGACTGGAATTTGGGTACCTGTGCGCCCCATGGTCTTTCGGCCCATCATTTCTTCAAAAAACACTACTGCCTGTGGGAGGCTCATCCTGGTTATCAATGGGGCCAGCTGCTGCCACTGAAGAAAAGTCCTTGCAATCTGCTGGCCCACACACTGTGTGCCCGAGAAGTAACTAAGCAGAACTGCGTTCCTTCCCTCAAATGGGAAGCAAGAGTTTGCCCACAGAGGTCCCCACGCAGCAACTGCATCTGCCAGATGCAGAAGCTGGTGCACATTGTATGACATGTGTTCTGCACCGTACAGTCTTCCCATTTGTAACACAAACTTGCTCAGCAGAACCCGAGCTTCACAGATCTCGGAGGTTGATACGCTCTGTTTTAGTAGCAGGTATGTGGCATATGCCAGCAATGTAAAGTGCTGGAAGTATGGTGCTAGCAAAACAGGCTTGAGAACAACATAGCCATAAAAAAGAAGTAACATCCTGAACTCTGAAGCCTTCCAGAAGGCTCTGTCCTCAAACCTCCTGGGTGTGCGGGTGACCTCTGTGGGTGGCAGGATGCCCAGGAGAATGGCATTCATGGTCACTAGTTTAGTCCCAGCATACCATGGCTGATCATGGTTCTCGGTGTCAAGCCACAGCTTCAGCAGCTGCCGCATGACACCGAGACAAACGCAGTGTTGGTAGTCTGGGATAAACCCATCAACAGGGTTAAACCGTGGAATGGTCATGATGATTGAGGGACCCTTCACGCCATGAACTGGTGTTTCAGGAGTTCCCTCCGCTGCTTCTATCATGTGGGCATTCTCTGAGCGCTTCTCAGGTGCAGGGTCTAGGTACGGGTAATGGGAACCCCCTGGGTGATAACACCATCCACATCCAAAAAATCCATTAAACTGTTTGCAGTTTTTTACTGCCGATCTTGCGACAGCATCCACAGAGCAAACCACAGCAAACACACGCATGTTTACTGTTTTCCCATCCCTGATGCAAGGAAACCCGGCTTCTAGTTCCTGCAGCTCCCTTGCGAATGGTGTTAGCAGTGTTGTCATATTTGGCTTGGTAAACCCAAACCAAATAGCTGGCATTAGCATGTTTTGTTTGCGTATGGTTGGGTCCAGTTGGAGTATTTGGCACTGTATGGGCCAAATATTGTACGTCGACTTTTCAAATGCTCTAATGCCATCTGTATTCCAGATGAGTGACAAGTCGTCACTTGAAAAGTCGCTGCATAGTCTTGCATGTTCTTGACCGTCAACAATGTCTGATATATCGGGCCCTGTTGGTGTTGCTGCCATCCACTTAAGATCTGGCTGCACAAGAATCCGCTGCAGCTGCTGTTTTATCGGCAACACTAAAAAGAACGCACATGACTCGGGATCCGGCTCAGTCTCACAATTCTCACATTTTGAGATGTCGCCAGGAAGACCCAAGTACCCTTGGCAGACAGGGCAGTAGTGATGTTTTTCTGCTTCTACCGCATGAGCATCTACAGCTTTCAGTAACAAGTACTTTGACTGGGGTACACTTCCAGGGGCAATGATGTTAATCATCCTCAGAAGGTCAGCAGTTGCCTTGTCACCATCTTTGTGGCGCAGTATGTACGACATGACAAGGGCAGCTAACTCGGCTGCATCATCCGACTCCTCTTCGCTATTTGCAGATGGGTCTTGCTGCGATCCCTGTAGAAGAAATAGAAATATATATATATATATATATCTTTGATTTCGCTATGTTTTTCATTTATTGGTTTTGCATCGTAAAATTTACAAGAATGGAAATTAAGTTATTTTTATCTGACATTCAGTGAACAATCATATTGTTCCCCCCCCCCTAGAACCTCAATTTCAAGATAAGATTCGGAAGTTTTCGGTTCACTAGAAAAATAAAATTATTAAATTGCTAGCAGACCTAACTATAGATTTTATATCCTAACATTGATATTTTCGACGTAGAACTATTGAGAGGGGAACTGGAAGCTGATAGAAATCCCTCAAAATTGAGAATCGCAAGACATCCCCCAATATTATTTTAAGGCATTTGAATCCCATCATGCTTCCAAACACGGTTAGAAACCCCCCTGCAATTAGATTTTCTGGCAGGGAAGCTCTCCAATGTGTCAGACATGCTTGGGAATGGACGCAAGGCTCACCTGTGAAGACGGGCCATCTCCGACTGATGTGCCTTCGATACCATCCAACAGGGGCGCTGCAGTTGGCTGCGGCACCGGAGAGTCACCCAGCAGTCGCTGTGAGCCCTGCATGAATTGGAAGGTATTCTCGACTTTAGGAGAGCAAGATCACCCCCATTAATGTTTCAAGGCATTGGAATGCAGTCATTCTTACAAACACCGTCAGAAACCCCCTGCAATTGCTTAGATTTTGAGACGGGGAAGCTCGCTAACGTGTCAGCAAGACTTAAGGACCGGTTCAAAGGCTCACCTGTGGAGCAGCAGCGTCTTCGATGGATGGGTCATCGATGCCTTCCAACACGGGTACTGTAGTTGGCTGTGGCATCTGAAAGACGCCCAGCAGTCGCTGTGAGCCCTGCATCGGATTAGAGGTTATTCCCTAAAATTAGACGAGCAACGCCACACTCATTAATGTTTCGGGGCATTTGAATGCAGTCATCCCTACAAACACCGTCAGAAATGTCCCCTGCAATTGCTTAGATTTTGGGAGAGGGAAGCTCGCTAACATGTCAGCCAGGCTTAAAGGGGCCCTGCAATCCTGCTTAAGTGTCTACCTTTTTTGCAGCTTCCCCATCTCTGGTTGTTCGAGGAACCCAGCGTCCACGGAGAGAGTAACTAAATATCAGTGCCTCATATTTTAACCGGACGACGCCGAAGCCTTCTCCACCTACGTGGGTGACCGACCCATAGTACCGAACGCGCTCAGCATGTGACGACATTGTGACGTCGGTCCTGGCCAGCTCCCGCCTAACGACTGGTCAGAGCCTCTAAAAGCTTTCTTTTAGTCGAAATGCAAAATATAAGCGGCGCAAACTGTTTCTATTATATATGAAGTAGTTTTTGCTCAGTTCTGAGCATTCCAAAGGCCTTCGGCGAGCAGGTTTGGTTTGCGCGGTTTGGCCGTTTGGCGATTTGGCAGTGCGAAGTGGCTCTTGTTCTGAACTCATCTTTACCCCGTGTTTGCTGTCGTTTGTGGTCAATTAAGTGTTATGCAGAATTAGAGTTTAGTCACGCAGCAAATGCAATGCGAGCCACCCTGGCTGCCCGCTTCATCCGGTCTATCCAGCGCGTGCTTTAGTGGTGCCCTCTCGAGCCGACGCCATAGAGTGCAGCATTCGTGAGCGCTTGCTGAGCTCAGTACCCCTCCTCGAGTTCACGGCCACCCAAGCGAGGAACAGGGACGTCATGCGGGAGGTTATTTTTTGCTTTTTTTTGTAATTCTAATCTGCCTATCACTTAAAATAAAGCAAAATTTGAGAAAAGTTTTACTAAGTTAGTACGTTCAGTACGCTCAGGTTCGGTGCAAATTAAAAACCTGTCAAAAATGAAAGACGTTTACAACACCCTGTAACGTCAAATTAGAGCGCAGCTCTTGAGGAGAAGGAGGGGAGGGTATGCCCCTCCTCCCTTTCCTCCTCCACCACCTTCTCCTTCTCCTCCTCCTCCTCCCCCACGCGGTGCACTATGGGACATTTCAATGCACCGCGCTAAATATGCCGACAATGACAGCGACGGCGACGCCACTCAAACCAGAAACAGGCGCTTAAGAGTTGCGCTCTAAAAGTTGTTGCAGGGCCTCTTTAAGAACTGACTCGAAGGATCACCTGCGAAGCAGCAGCGTCTTCGATAGATGTGTCAGCGATGCCATCCAACAGGGGCACCGGAGTTGGTCGTGGCATCCGAGAGACGCCCAGCAGTCGCTGAGAACCCTGCATCGAATTGAAAGTTATTCCCTACAATGAGACGAGCACATCCAGCCCCACTAATATTCCAAGGCACTTGAATGCAGTCAGTTCTAACAAGCGCCTTCAGAAACCTCCTGCAATTTCTTAAATCTTGAGGCTAGGGAAGCTCGCTAACGTGTCAGCCAGGCTTAAGGACCGGTGCAAAGGCTCACCTGTGGAGCAGCAGCGTCTTCGATGGATGGGTCATCGATGCCTTTCAACGGGGGCACTGGAGTTGGCTGTGGCATCTGAGAGACGCCCAGCAGTCGCTGTGAGCCCTGCATCGGATTGGAAGTTATTCCCTAAAATTAGACGAGCAACGCCACACTCATTAATGTTTCGATCGCATTTGAATGCAGTCATCCCTACAAACACCGTCAGAAACGTCCCCTGCAATTGCTTAGATTTTGGGACGGGGAAGCTCGCTAACGTGTCAGCCAGGCTTAAGGACCGGTGCAAAGGCTCACCTGTGGAGCAGCAGCGTCTTCGATAGATGGGTCATCGATGCCTTTCAACGGGGGTACTGGAGTTGGCTGTGGCATCTGAGAGACGCCCAGCAGTCGCTGTGAGCCCTGCATCAAATTGGAAGGTATTCCCCAACATCAGAAGAGCAATTAAGCTCCACCCCCATTAATGTTTCGACACGTTCGAATACAGTCAAAACACCGTTTGAAACCCGCTCCAATTGCCCAGATTTTCTGGCAAGTTATGTGTCAACCAGGTTTAGTACATTGAAGGCAGGAATAACTTTGCAGTGTAGGCAGTGATTTCCCTACACACCCTGTAGGGTGGGTGTACGTAGCCCTCTTGTTTTTTCTGAAGGCACAACCTTATGGACCTTCTGACAAATATGTGCCGCCACCTAGACACGCGACTGGGTTTGAGACTAAGTGGCGAGAAAACAATGCGCGCGCAAGGCCTCTCCAACCCATTCTACACCCAAAACGTCGGCTACATCCTGTTCTCCCGATGAGGTGCTGTGACCTAACGGCTCCCCCAAACTCGCCTTCATTCCCATCATGCATAAACGTCTGCCCTGAAGTCGACACAAAGAAACCACCTTCCCTCTCTGCTTGGCCAGAAGGAAGCAAGAGAGGGTACTGGAACCATTTACTCTCGAATTGATGTTTCTACGAAAGGGATTCATTCGCAACTACTCCTATACTCTAATATGCCTACCCCCCCCCCCCCTAATTTTAATTCCTGGGGATTCCTTTCGATGTAGAGCTCAGGGAAATAAAATATTTGGAATTGACAAAACTGCAATATTGCAGTATACCTTCGATCGAGTCTTCGATGGAGGTGCCTCCTTCGCCATCCGACATGCACAGTGCATTTGGTCTTTGGCAAGCAGTGAGCACCGAGTTATTCACTTGTTGATGCAGTATATAATTGTTTTACTAGGAACGAAGCAATATTTTTTCATGCCAACAAGTTAGCATACGCGTTCTGGCGCTTGTCAGCTTTCTGCAGCACACAAGTTACGCTGTTTGTGCGAAACAAATTTAAGCATGAATAAAACATAGGTTTTGAGTGATTTTCTTTTTGGTCGAAGAACCGAAAAAGTTTGGTATTGATCAGTGTAATCAGGAATCTTTTCGGGGGGGGGGGGGGGTGCTGAGGTGGCTGGGATGTTGTTCATGGCCGGCAGAGGGGGGGAGCGGGGGGGGGGGGGGGCGCGAAGCTTCATAAGCCAAGGCCCCCCCCTGGTATTGTTGTTTCTGGTCGGGAGTTATTCCCTGCGGGGTGGGCTTTGCCGCATTGGCCGGTTTGTCTCGCGGGGTTTTGGGGGGATCCAGGCCTTTCACTAACTTACCTCTCGTGGATTTCGGACGCTGCACGCTTCACTCGGGGAGAGAGAGGAGGGGAGGTGCGCGGGTGTCAGGCTCGGCTCGGTTCAGGTTTGCGTACCACGTGTTGCGCGCAGCACGTGGCACAACCGAAGTTGAGACCGGGCCTAACCCAACCTTGCGCCCCCACCCCCTCCTTTCTATTCCCCCGTTAACCACGCACCCGAAAACCACGAGCAGCATGCAGTCTAAACCGCAACCGCCGGCCGAGGAAAGTTCTCAGTATAGCTATGTTTCTTGTATTTTGTCCAAGGTGATATCTTACCTGAGAAGCTTGAGATCTTTTTCTTCTAGCCGTTCGCGGTGGTAGCGGCACATCTTCTTCGAGATAGCGTTTGTACTTAGAAGACATAAGAGCACTTCGCTTAAAAGCAGGGCCCGTGCGTCTGTCCGTTGCACAATGCGTTCGCTCACAATGGGTGCATATTAGTCGCGCTTGCCTCGAAGATCCACTTGCACTGCCGGTTGGGATCGCAGCGCAGCGAATATGCTGACGTGATTCGCAAAAGTTGTCTGTGGCCAAACTCGTGGTCACTATTCACACAAAGCGGAGGCGATCTGTTGCTCGTGGCCAAAGGAGGGAGGGAGGCGCGCGGATGCCTTGCGGGGCATAAACCCGAGTGTAGCCTTCGTTTTCGACGACCGCGTTGTTGTGATCACACTGTGGTCCGTGTGGTTGCGATGACTCAATCCCTATTTTCTCTCCAGTTTCGCCATCTTCAACGTGGCAACAAAATCCGCTAGTGCTACTTATTTCCCAACAGAAAGCCACTGCAAACACTTCGGGCGCATGAAATGACAAAGGAAGGTCTTGACCTTCCAGCTTGCACCTACGATCCCCATTA